GACGATCTTAAACAAGGAAAGAAGATGACGTTCCAGGAATTAAAGCGAGAAGCCGAGAATAGGGACAACTGGAGAGCTCTTTTTGGGCAGAGCAATGGACCTGTCGTAAGACAGAACACTTAATAATAATAAATATATTTCCCAAAGATATGTTCTACTGGCACATAGTGTAATATTTTAAGATTGAAAAAATTTTAAGGATAGCATTGTGTCACTAGCATCTCATGAGAGAGGCAATATAACCACGATATTTAAATAACTGTATCTTTAACTGGTAAGATTTCAGGTTCTCATTTATGGGAAGTTGTGGAATGTATTTTGGTAGAAGTTTACTGACATTTCAAAAGTGTTTACTGCCTCAATCAACAGGACAATAACTTCCATCACAATGATGATGAAGGAAGTAAGCACTTCTGAAATATTGGTAGACTTGTACCAGACTACATGGAACATTTCACAAGACGTGTCAACTATCCTGAGGGAAGGATATATTCCAGAACCATACTGGTTAAAAAATTCTTCCTGAAAGTCTCTGATGAAGACGTGACAATCAAAGGAACACAAAAACAACGAATAAGATTACACATCATAAACCAGAAAAAAAGAGAGACAAGAATTTGTTTTTAGGCACATTAAAATCCCTGTGGGAGCACCTATTAAAACTGCTTTCTCGGTCCATCCATCAGTCTCGAGAACGGCTGAATTTATTTTCATGAAATATGATATTGGAGTACAACTGAAATTTATCAACAAATTGCAATTTTGGTCAAAGTTTGACAACAATAATGGGTATTTAAATGAATACTTACATGCACTCCAAAGTGACTAGATGGGGAATTACCAGACAGGGGAGAATTTCCAAGTGGGAATACCCGACCAGAGAATTCAGGTGGGAAATTCCTAGCCGTTCATAATGATCAAATTCTGGCAAATTCAACAGAACTGTTAGGCACACATTTCCTAACTTGTTTAACTTGTTATCCTTCACAGGCACCATTGTATTGTAAAACAACACAGTTTGCTCTCAATTTTTAAAACTAATGGAGGCAAGAGGATGCATGAATAACCCAAAAAGTAAATTTTAACACAAACATATAACTTTCAATACAAACTACCCATATAAGAGCTGAAATAATATTTTATTAATCACACGCAAACCAGCACCACAGAGTAATGTCATGGAGGAGAAAAAGAAAGCTGAATATTTTACCCATCACCCCACAGTAAACTACCTTATATGGTGATTATCATACATCTTGGTCTACTCACTTAATGGGAATGGTGCGTGAGAAATAAAAGTTTGCCTCGCAGTTACCTGTGTACGAGCCTTATTATAAACACTCAGCAAAATTAGAACTAAAAGAATAAATATGCATAAACAATCCACAAATCGATAGTCAGGAGTAAAAGTAGCTTGCCTGCAGACAGCACGGAAACCAGCAGGAGTCGCACGCAAGAGGTCGATTCAAATGAATCACTTCATTCTTGTAATTGTCAAGAATCTTCATATCAAATGGTCGCAGGGGGCCACAACAATTTCGCGTGAGACAATCTGAGTCTTCCACCGCATAGTAAACCTTCTGGCCGACACTGTTCTTTATTGTATATTTGTTTTGAGTTTCAAATCCAGTAAATGCTGAAATACGAAAACAGTAATGCAAATGTACATGCTTACATCACCACACAGGTGTTATAACAGTAAATAAACTTCACAACAAAGACAAAGTTTAAATATTTTTCTCAACATAATCCATCAGCTTTGTTTCGAGTATTTCCTGAAGATGTTGCAACAGAATATGCTGAATTAATACTACATTTGTAACTGTTAACATATAAAAATATGTTTGATACCATATGCTTATGTTTTGGTATTAAATTGCCAAATGTAACCACAACTAATTTGTTCCAAAGTATTTTTCACCTTCAAGTAACTCCACTTTTTGATGTACAAGCAGCTGGTCAATCGTAGTAAGGTATTCCAAACCGGGTGGGACATTGGGATTGCCTTGCGGCATATTCATCCATCCACCTGTAAGACATCACAATAAAATGCCTTGAATTTTAGATAAAACTTAACAAATTCACTATACTATATGAATTATTGTACAGTTTGTTACAGAAATGGTTAGAACTGCAAAGATTACACCAATTTTTATCTTCATTGTTCATAATTTCATTTTGGAACACACAATACAAATAAACAGAAAGAAAGTTGATAGTGGAACCACGATTCTAAAACGTTTTTACCAGCACAAAATTATCTAGTCTACGACGCACTTCTTCTACAAGCGATTCGCAGCTCGGCTCTTTCCGCAATAACGAAAGCGGATTGTTGACGGCAGTAATGTAACTCAACAACGCCGAGTAAACAGCTGACGTAACAATTAGTTCCTTAGGTAACATAACAATGCACGAAGGAGTTCATATAAAAGCTGACCACTGTTATCGGTCCATATTTACACATCGTTGATATGGATCTTACACAACTTCGTTACGCTTTTTGCCGAATGACCCTTCCGTATTGACGTATTTACATCAAAAGAGAAGATAAGAATTTACCCTGCACCGTCTAATCAGAAAGAACTCCCTTTTGTTAATTATACCCATATAAAGCCATTAGAACATAACTCCAATGAATTACATCGTACTGGAGCATATGTTATAAAAGAAATTATATATATTGACCATCTTCGCACAGCTTTAAAAACTATCTACTTATGTCTTAAAGTTTGATTTATCACAACATGTTTTGGACCCACGACCAACAAGTATAAATAATTACTAAGAAGAGTTTTCAGCAATTTAACAAACAGAGATTTAACTTTTAATATGAAGAATTAGGGGCAACATTCCTTCTTCACTTGTCAACAGTGCAGTGGTTTGTGGAGGTAAATAAAAACATGAGGTGGACCCATGGGTTCTGAAACATGTGACAAATCAAATATTAAGACATGTGTAAGATAGTTTTTATAGTTGTGTAAAGACAGTCGATAAACGTATAAGCCAATTAATTTAATCTTCAATTAATGTGCTAAAAATAAATACATTTTCTTCGATGATATTCTTAATTTATTAATTTAATTAATACAAAAACTTCTTTGCAATCAATTATTGTCAATTCTGCTAATCAATTATGGATAGAAGATTCAATACCAAAAACACAATATGGGAAATTACGAAGCCAGCCATTCCGCAAAGCACGTAGGGTGTAATTACTGTACTACTTGACTATTTAACATAAAAATAGGGTATGGTACTTAAAGCAGAAATTAATTATTAATGATACTAAAATCCTCACAACTGAGCGAATAATGGCTGACTAACACATGGCCATGTGACACATTTTACTTCATTAACAGTGCAAGTGTTAAGATATTAAACCAGAAGTAACTACCGTTACAAAAACATAAATACAAATCATGACCATATAAAACAAAAGATGTCAAACCTTTTTTCTTCATCGGTGAAAAACACAACATAATTAATTTCTGTTGATGATGCCAACATAAATTCATCAGGAATGTGGACAATAAAATTTCTTGTTCTCTTCCACAGTCTCTTGAATGATGGTGCTGGTATATAGGCGTGTTTGGAGCAACCAACGATATAACGCACGCGGTGCCCAAATTTGGATAGATGTCTGCGAATGTTTTGTAACTTAGGCACTTTCTTTGGCTTGCAGCCAGTATTTTCAACATTTTCATGCATTCTATATACCTCACATGCCACTGATCATGTAACACACTAATAAACACAGTTTCTCTTCTCTGCAAGACTTCACTGTCCAATTATTTCAGGTTTCTTATAAAACTCACAGACATACATGCCATTTAGTACAGACCTTGAGTGGCCTTCAAGGTTTCTTATAAACTCACAGACATATATGCCATTTAGTACAGACCTTGAGTGGCTACATGTATGTCGACCTATGAATAAATTAACAAAAATAAAAATATCATACAGGAACCCAATAAACAAAACACTACCTCAGATAACATAATCCTAATGTTCAACACCGCCAATACCAACATCCACAAACCTGAGCCACTTCCATTTTTTAAGATCCATTCCCGCATTACTCCCATTTCCTTCCATGTCAAATTCTTCACCCTTAAAATTTTGCATGTATTTAATCTTTCTCTGCGAGCTACACGTCAAGCCCATCACAAAATTCTTGCAGTAAGCAGACTAACAACATAATTTGCCATTGATCACTTTACATAACCTTGTAACTGCAAAACTAGGTTATCTGATAATACAACCTAAACATTCAGCACTGCTAAGAACAAAACCCACCGTTTCAGTATATCCGGTAATGTTAACTTGAAAACATATTAACGTTCTGCATCTAAATTATC